GTCAGTCCCGCTATAAGTTGCTGATCGCCACCATTACTAGTAAAAATGAAAAAAAAAAAAAAATACAAATACAAAGTATATATACCACCATTTGTAAAAGCTAAAACTTTCATGCAAACCAATTAATTTACACGTATTGGGATTTTTTTTGAGCAAAGACATGTAGCAGAATACATTTTGGCCTCAATTTATGATGAAATTTTATTTTTTTTACATTTTTTACTGGACATGTTTAACCACTTCAATACCGGGCACTTATACCCTCTTCCTGCCCAGGCCAATTTTCAGCTTTCAGCGCTGTCGAACTTTGAATGACAATTGCGCGGTCATGCAACACTATACCCATATGCAATTTTTATAATTTTTTTCACACAAATAGAGGTTTCTTTTGGTGCTATTTAATCACCACTGAGTTTTTTATTTTTTGATAAATAAACCAAAAAACACCTGAAACTTTTGAAAAAAAAACCACTTTTCTTCATTTCTGTTAAAACATTTTGCAAATAAATGACATTTCTTCATAAATTTGGGTCAAAATGTACTCTGCTACATTTCTTTGGTGAAAATAATAGTAATAATTGAATTTGTGTTTTTTTCAAATGTTTCTATTTTTTTTTTTGTTTTTTAATTACATTTTTTTTCTTTTTATTATTTTATTTCTCAGCACACTGTGACCAAAGCAATACAATGTTACCATAGTAACATTGAACAACTCTGGGCAAGTGATCAGGATTTTTTTTTTTTTTTAAAACATTATGATTGCTAATACCAATGTATTTTGTTGATATTTGCAATCATTGTTACTGAATGAAACTGATTAATTTAGTCTTTTGTTGTGATTAGCTGTGATTGGGCAAAGCTGATCACATGATACAGATGGGCTGTGATTGGCCCTGCCTGTATCATGTGACTGCCTTGACCAGTCACAGCTAACAACATAATTGTGTACAATGGATGGCATGACAGGAAGCCATCCTTTGTATAGAATTAACATGTGATCTGCTGTGATTGGTCACAGAGGTCACATGACACTGGCAACAGGCCGGTGTAGTGATATGTCATCGGCTGTGTCCCAGGACACAGCCAGTGACAGATTGCGCCGCTGCGTAGCCCCGCGGCCGCATGAGTGGTTCATTTTGACAGAACGTCATATGACGCCCAGTCACAACGGCGAGTGTCCCACCTTGCTATCAATCTGCTATGGGCCGGGCAGGAAGGTGTTAATAGCAAAAAGTAAAAAATATTGTTTATTCCTCAAAATTGTCTGTCTTTTTTTTTTTTTATACCGCGAAAAATAAAAAATGCACAGGTGATAAAATACCACTGAAAGAAAGCTCTATTTGTGGGGAAAAAAGGATGTAAATTTAATTTGGGTGCAGCGTTGCATGACCACGCAATTGTCAGTTAAAATAACGCTGCGCCTTACCACAAAAAATTGCCTAGTCAGGAAAGGGGGTAAATCCTCCGGAGGGCAAGTGGTTAACAACAAGATGAAAAGTGTTTGGTCAGCCAATCAAAAAGCCCTCCAAGGTTAGTCACTGGAATAAACTCATATATATCAAGGGTAAGTGTTTAGATGTTAAGTGAGAAAATATTATGAAAGGAATTATCTAGGACAGGGGTGGGAACTGTGGTCCTCCAGCTGTTGGTGAACTACAAGTCCCATCATGCCTCTGCCTTTGGGAGTCATGCTTGTAACTGTCAGTTTTGCAATGCCTCATGGGACTTGTAGTTCTACAACAGCTGGAGGGCCACAGTTGCCCACCCCTGATCTAGGATAAAATATAAATTACAACATGCACGAAAGTCAAGTGCTTGACAGAAGAAGAACTGGGGACTCTGAAGGCTTAGTTTATCATTTTGCATAAACTCTATTGGACTTGTTATCTATTGCTGGATCAAAGAAACACTATACTTTTTGGAAAAGAAACAAGGTTGACTGGGTGGATATTCTTTTAAAGGAGTTTGCACTCTATACACACATCTGCTCACTTCCGTTTCCACAATACTAATAACTATATATTAATCATTAGCTAATTAGTCATTATTAGTTACAACAATTACAACAATAAGAGAGAAGAAAAAGGGGAAGCAGTTCACCTGTTGCAGAAGTAAGTGTAGGGCACGTATCTACATATCATGGGCGTCTGCATGCCCCACAGTCTCCAGTCTCCTGTATTAACACTTAACCCCTTCCAGTCTCCTGTATTAACACTTAACCCCTTCCAGTGCCCCCCCTAGCCCCCTCAATTGCCCCCCAAAACCTTTCAATTTCCCTATATCTTCCTACACTGCTCTCAAGCCCCCTGCACTGTTCCAAATCCACTTGCACCGCCTCCTGCACTGCTCCCATGCATCTTTCAACTGCAGTGCCCCTATTTCCCTGCTGTCTGTTACAGTTCCCTTGAGTGAACCCCAGCCCCCTGCAGTTTTGTCAACCGCCTACCATTCCCCCAACACACACCCCTCAACCACCTGTTCTGTCCCCTACCCCCCTTACAGTGCCTGCAGCCCCCACCAGTGTGTGCATAAGCAGAGGTGTAACTAGAACCTTCAGGGCCCTGTTGCAAGAAACCATAACAGGCCCCCCCCCCCCTGATTGCTGGCTGGGACCCTTCCCTCTAGGTGAGGGCCCTTCCTTCTAAGCCCAGTGGTGGAACGTCTGGACCCGGTCGCAAGTGCGACCTTTGCGACCCTTGCAATTCTGTCACTGGTGTCAGTAATTTTGTTTATATTATTTTTTAACCATTTAATTTTTTTTTCCTTTTACAATATTAGCTTTGACCGTTTTTTATAGGAACCCCATTGGTCGGCTTTGGTGAGATATCATGGGTTTAAGCAGACCTCTGATGTTTCACCTTTGAAACAGAGAAAAGAGACTCCTCAATCACCTTCTCTTCAGCCTCAGCATCACAGAATGAATGGACAGGAATAGCTCTGTACAGAGCTTCCAGTTCATTCAAAAACTGAATCATAGTAAACATGGTTTCTTATCTTTCAAATATGAATAGACAGAGTCAGTGATCGGTACATATCTCTGACTAACTTCGTCCATTCAGACAAGGAAGGGGCCCTTAAATGACATATTCTTCCCCCCTTCCCCGCTCTCCATCCTGAAACATCCCCCAGCAGCAGCCAGCAGGAGTGGGGAGTGTTGCGGGGGAGGAGTGGGGGCCAGGATGGGGGGGCAGAAGAGAGCACAGGGGCAGCAGAAGAAGCTGAATAGGAGGGGAGATGGGGGCAGAATATAGAGGAACTAATCCCTCCATTTTCATCTTGTAGCCGCTGAATGTCTGTGGGAGGGAGAGGAGGAGAAGCAGGCTTTCATGGACTGCAGAAAGAAAATGGAGTGGATCGGTTCCTCTATATGCTGCCCCACCGCCCCTCCTATCCAGTTGTATAGGGGAGCCGCATGGGCCCCCTGGAGCATAGGGCCGGTTCACAATTGTGACCTCTGCACCCCTGTAGTTACACTTCTGTGTATAGGAAGAGGAAGGGCACAAGGGAGCTGGCTTAAAAATGTTACGTCTGGCCCTGATTCTGGGAGTAATTCTCAGAAGGTGCTCTTCTGTATATAGATGCTGCACAGTACCATCTCTTTTATTGTATTTGCTGGATGTAGTTATCAATTCTATTTTAGATTTTGTGGGTGCACTTTGCTCAGTAGTGTTCCTCCTATTTATAATGGTCTGTGTAGTTCTCAGTAACTGTATTTATTTTGTAATTATGGACATTGTATATCAACATCACATTGCAGTCTGTTTTGAATGCAGAGTAGGAGCAAAGGTATAGATTGAGAACAGCTGATGGAGCTATTTATAAAGGTACCGCTATGCCCACATGCCTGTAAAATGGGAAGATTAACTTTAGATTTAATATTATTGCTCATAGTTGTAGGTATACATCTTATTACTTGTGAAAGAATTTGTTTTGTAATAAATTGCACTTTTTAATTTTGTATTCTTTCAAACATGATTTCAAAACCTCTGTTTTTAATGCAGAGGTTTTAATGCAAATTGTGTAATTTATTTTTTGTTGGCAAACTAGTAAGTGTGCTGGGCAGTTGCCATTTTTGTTTAGTTTGCTGGAATTGGTGGAGGGACATATTGGAAGCTTTCAACTGTCATATGCAGTACTGGGCTTCTGGCATGTCCTGTGTCTTTGAAGAGGAATAGGCTACCTCAAGGTATAACTGCCCTTAATTCATCCATTGGTATATATGCTTCAATGTGGAGGCTCTCATAGACTAGAGTTAGGACCACACTATACTGACGGACCTTGACAAGGCAATGTGGCTTCCACATATATTTGCAAGTCATTGCTCTTTGGATTCTGTCAGTAAGTAGTATTCATCATTAGAATTCTAGCAAGACAGTTATGTTAGTGGGGGCTAGTTTTTATAAGTAACAACATTTAATTTTGTCTGAATTGTACATTCTAAAGGCAGGCACATGTCAGTAGTGAGCATAATACACAATGGAATGGATTTGCTAAAGCAATATAGCATGTTCACTTTGTATATGTTCATTTTGCTTAGTAAATGAGATGAAATGATGTTTACTTCAGATATAAAGTCCTGTTTTTTTTTTACCTTACACATGATTAGCTTAACCTATACTAAGACCAAAGACAGTACACTTTTGCAGAGTGAAGCTTTTATGTTCAATTGCTGGCATTGCAAATATTTAAATAATCAACCAGTTTTGCAATGATACTCTTCCACACACATTTACAAAGTAAGTTTGTGTTTTGCTCTAGTTTTTCTGTTTGTAAGGAATGTAAACTGTATGGCCCAGAGATAAAAAAAAAAAGACGATAAACTAAACAAGAAATCTGGTAAAATGGAATAACATGGACACATGTGAACTGATCAAATTAAGTTTATTGTAAAATGTGACACAAGTTAAGTTGTTTTAGGACCAGGTATCACATCAAAATGATCCAGCTTATCTGTACCTGGAAACCAGGACAGAAGACACAGCAGAGATGAATTTGTCCCAGGCAGCGTGGGCAGGAGCATTAAACTCCTTGGGGAAGTGGACAGCCAGAGTCACCTGGATGCAGTGAGACAGCAGCTACAAGAGAGAAAACAAAACAGTTTATTATGAATACTGGAAATCAGCTTGTTAACAACTGACTTCAACTTAGCTTTGTATTAGATATTTTACTTTCTATTATTTTCATTTATTATCTGTATCATTCTATCATCAATATTCATGAACCACTATAAAAATGCTGATTTAGAACTTACTCTGAAGTTGCCAGGGTCAACTCTCAGGTTCTGAGCATGGAGGTCACTCAGGGCAGAGAGAGCACCGTCAAGATCATTCATGTGACTGGCGGCATTTCCGATAGCATTGACAACCTTGCCACCATGCCTGCGGAGATCCTTGGAGTTATGGCTCATATCAAAATGGCTGAAGTAGGTCTTGGTCTGAGGGAAGCTGAGGAACATCCTGAAGAAAAAAGAAATAAGGCCTTTAAATGTATGAATGGCAATGTATTAAACTTATATAATAGCATAAAGTAACAATTGTATACATAAAGTACATACATTGATTAAACCCAGGACCCTGCATTCACTATACCTGGTCTCCCACAGTACACAGAACATGGAAATGAAATGATTTTAGTAAATGTAAACTGCTAAATACCTTTTCTCATCAGCAGTCAGATCAGTTTTCTGACTTCTGTCCAGCAGAGCACTGGTTACAGCTTGTAGGAGAGAGTTTTCATTCTCCTCTCACAATCTTATGAGACTGCATGACCCCTGACCCTCTGTCTGGAGAGTGCTGATTGGCCCTGTGCTGATCACATGCACTATCCCAAGAAAAAAAAAATCTTTAGCAATACACACCAAACTGAGCATGTGCAACTTGCCCCCAAGGCTCTGTTCTATCAGGAGATGAGCTGGGGACAGTGGAAGAAGGGGAGGATCAGAGAAGACAGGATTAAACATCCTTTTTACACAATACAGATGATTAACACCTTAAGTTCCACTGTGAGTATAACAAGCATGCTTTAGCATATTCAATGATTTTACTCTTGTGGATTTAATAACACTTTTACAGATTTCTGTGGACAAGGGGAAACAAGGTTTTTTATTGCATGGAATGTAATATCCTAATGTTATGGAAATTAATTAGGATCTACCTAATTGCTATTAAAATGCTAGTTTGGGCAGCATAAAATTGCATCATTCAATAATACCTTACCAACATTAAAGGAGAAGTATTGGATGGGGCAAATAATTAGCAAATATTACAATCACCACAAATCAGCTGTTCTTTTTTTTCCTAACTCCTTTTGTTTTTCAACCAGGTGCACATCTTTCCAATAGCTCCCAGTAGCAGTCCATTTTCTGTTTGAAAGTTTAGAAGGGGTGGATACCACTTCTGCAATCCACCCCTCTCTCTGTCCCTCCTTCCTTGGGAGATGTGGCTGAGCTTCCTGCACAAGCGCACATCCAAGCAGCAAACTAGAGTGAGCATGTTGGTCACATGGCTCTGTTTTCATGGTAATATGACATCACACAGAAAAAACAAAAGCTGCTTGGCAAGATAGTAAAGATTGTGCAGTCTAATTCACTGGTGGTGAGACAGAAGTAGCATAGGCATGTTCGGATCTGGGGGGTTTCCCTCCTCCCCCCCTCCCTTCCGTGGATACTGTGGCCGCTGAGTTACTCCTCCCATCCTGCCACTGCACACAGGACACTCATCAGAGCTCCTCCTGCACAAAGCCTGCATGTGTATAGTATTTTACAGACACAGCCTCCATCTCTACAGTGTATAGCTGCCTGCTCTGCCCTTTCAAGTTCTCAGATCAGAACGGCTGTGCTGCATAGCAGGCAGTTATCCAGTGTACAGATCCAGGCTGTATCTGTAAACACACAGTAGATACTCATACACAGCGCTTTCAGCGACTTCTCTTAACTTAAAGTCACTGAAGTGCTGCTATTGCTGCTGGATTCTGTGTGCTCAGATCAGAACAGCCTGAAAGGGAAGAGGAAGGGGTGAGATGTGAGAGGAGCAGAGAGAGCTGTGTGAACTCTCAGGAGCAGCAGAGAGCAGACATCAATCACACAGAGGAGAGGAAAGTGGGTGGATCCCCGCTAGAATGGCGGCATGACACTCCAGAGAAGACAGTAGCCCCTCCCACAGGCAATTAACTCTATTTTAACAATGTGCAGTTCTCAGAGGGCTGGAAAGATTTTTAGGTATTAGCAGCTCACATACAATAGGTATAAGCTACAAAAAAGGAAACCCATACTTCTCTTTTAATATCTGTAAATACATTTTTAACAAAAATCTGAATAAAAAAATGAAGCACATAGTTCCTTTAACTAAGCACAAGAATTATGGAAAAGACTTGTAAAGGTAAATAATTCTATAACATTACCGTAACTGATTACTAAATGTATTATTTACCTCTCCAGAGCCTCTGCTCCGATGTCCTCAGCATGGCCAGACACCTTGCCCCAGACGGACTTGATGGCGGCCTTCTCAGCTTCGGAGAATGTCATGATTGGTTCAGGTTAGTACAGATGAACTGGTCAGTCCCTACAGAGTTGAGAGCTACTGCACTTTTAAAGAAAACAGATTTCAACTATGGATAATGTAAGTGTCTTGCCATTGGCTACATTTTTAGTCACCCATCCCTTATCTTATCTTAAAAAAATAATGATGTTAGGAATTCATAGCTGCTGATACAATGCAATATCTTTTTATCTCTCTATACAGTGCTTACAGTATGTAAAATACAGCACACAATGCATAATGATAATAGACAAGTCTGATAACAATACGATAACCATATGTGACTGCTAAATTAGCTGAACAACAAGGCATTGCCTGAAAACGCACATCATGTTTTTCTCTAACATTTAAGTTATTAGTGAAGATGTTACACTTATATTATTTGCCATCGTTTTTTAGTTCTTAGAATCCTGGGCTCATAAAGGATAATGCTCCAAGTCTAAAGATAGCTCAATGTTAATTTGTATTTTGCCAAAATAGCACAAATGGACAGATGTGTATGAGTAGGACAAAGCTTCATATATAATATCTGAAAACTGAACTTTGGATAGAAATCTAGGAATTTAAAGAACACATTTGCTTGCTTTCAGTTTTTAATAAAGTGGGGCAAGGTGGGACCTGTAAGGTTTTAATACTATTTGTGACTCCTTTGTGTCCTTTTTTTTTTTCCTGTGAGACCAGGAATGTCACAGGAACAGGAGGATAAAAAAACAACAAAATAAAAAACTGCATATGCTCTAAACTTCATCCCCATTGGAGAGAGGAAAAATCTCACCGACAGAAATAAAAACTTGACAGCAGATTTAATAAAAAAATAATAGAAACAATGATAAATTATTTACAAAAATATATTTAAAAAAATATAAAATCAATAATCAAAAACAAAATCAAGGACTGAAATTATGTCAGAATAATACAATTACTCATTAGAAACATATCATTAAACACTTTTAAACTTAAACTAAACTTTTGAAAAGTATAAATTGTAATTTTGTAAGTAAGCTTTGTTTATATCTCTTCATGTCCAGCACTTTCACACAGAACCAAAGTTATGATTTTATGTGTACTTCTACCAGAACATATTGTTATGGGTTTATGTTGTAATCAAACCCATACATATGTATTTAGAAAAGATAAATGGATCAGCTTTGCATCTAAATTTCTTGTTCACACTACAAAGTGCATTATAATACATGTTACTCTGATTTACTGTGAATTTGTTGCAATGTGTTGTCATTCATTATTAATTGCACTCCAACCTACATATAGAATGCATTGCAGCACATCTGTACCAAAGAGCATTGCAATATACAGATGCAAATGCTCTGGGTAATGTGGTGCACTGGATTTTGAAGAATAAAGCAGGATCTATTTTTCATGCATTCGTGTACATTCACAGCCAATTCAAAATACGTTGCCGAACACAACGAACCTTAATGCACAAAAAAAGAGTGAACTGCATGATGGTCTGAATAGGCCCTATACCTTAAAGTATGAGCGGGAAGACTACTTAGTCCAAGTTGTATTTTTTAAGATTTATTTCCTTGTCATTTCAAGTGTTAATGGTTACAGATTTATGAGACTAAAGCCGGCAATACACCATTAGATTTTTTCCATTCACCCTGCAGGCTGAACAAAATTAAATCTAACAGACACCCCCATCCATGCTATACAGCACAGATGGGGAAATCTCTCGCTGTGGCTATGGTACTTTTACAGCCAGCATGGATGACTATCAAACTACCTGAACATGAGCTGCATGTGACTGGATGTAGATGGTATTCAGCTGACAATTTTCCTCCAGGTTCCTTCAATTTTGCAATAGAGAGATGTCGGCCAGGAGGTGTACATGGCAAGCTTTAGGATGTATATGGAGAGACAGGTATCATCTGGGTAACAGCATACAAGAAAATATCTATCTGACGTGTGTCAAGAATAAACACGCTCTTCACCTGATGCTAATATTTGCAGATTCCACATCACTCTTCAGTACAGATTACATTGCTGTGCTCCTTTTGACTATTTTCATGAACTATTTTATTTTATTTTTAACTAAGTTTTTGGCTATTATGATGAACCACTGGTATTTATACTTTCTAATTCACTGACCTGCAAAACGTATACACATCAGGAAAGTCAGTATATTCAGAGTGCTTATCTGCATAATAGTTTTGGGTTGGTGGCAAACTGTTAGCAATGGTAGCTTTCATATTATTTTCCTCAAGTTCAACACATTTTGCAAAAATAAAACACCAGAACATATTTTACAGTACATAGACTTTCCCTGGTTGTTTCAATCACCTTAAAAAAGCTGCTGGCTTTTAAAAAAACATGTATTGCACAGATATGAGGTCTATCTGGCTTAAATTATTTGCCTAAAACATGAAAAGAGATTTTAGCAAAAAAGAATTAGTTAGTATTGATGAAGATTGCAATGACTCCTTCTCCAAGGAGTATAGAAGAACATTATATAGTTACTCTATTGAAAGCAGTGATTATATGTATTTATTAAATGTTTAATCGGGTTTCTGAATGAAGCTTGATTTTTTAACTTCTTAATAAATGAAAGAGTCCCAATCTCCAAGAGCAAGATCATCCAATACTATTGCCAAATAGCTGGGTACATATCAGGGGCAGATTGACCATTTGGAAACTCGGGCACTGCCCGAGGGCCCGGGGTCAGTAGGGGGCCCCTTGAGCTTTGACCGTTTTTTATAGGAACCCCATTGGTTGGCTTTGGTGAGATATCATGGGTTTAGGCAGACCTCTGATGTTTCACCTTTGAAACAGAGAAAAGAGACTCCTCAATCTCGTTCTCTGCAGCCTCAGCATCACAGAATGAATGGACAGGAATAGCTCTGTACAGAGCTTCCCGTTCATTCAAAAACTGAATCATAGTAAACATGGTTTCTTATCTTTCAGTTATGAATAGACAGAGTCAGTGATCGTACATATCTCTGGCTAACTTTGTCCATTCAGACAAGGAAGGGGCCGTTAAATTACATATTCTTCCCCCCTTCCTCGCTCTCCATCCTGAAACATCCCCCAGCAGCAGCCAGCGGGAGTGGGGAGTGTTGCGGGGGAGGAGTGGGGGCCAGGATGGGGGGGCAGAAGAGAGCACAGGGGCAGCAGAAGAAGCTGAATAGGAGGGGTGATGGGGGCAGAATATAGAGGAACTAATCCCTCCATTTTCATCTTGTAGCCACTGAATGTCTGTGGGAGGGAGAGGAGGAGAAACAGGCTTTCATGGACTGCAGAAAGAAAATGGAGTGGATCGGTTCCTCTATATGCTGCCCCACCGCCCCTCCTATCCAGTTGTATAGGGGAGCCGCATGGACCCCCCTGGAGCATAGGGCAGGTTCGCAATTGTGACCTCTGCACCCCTGTAGTTACACTTCTGTGTATAGGAAGAGGAAGGGCACAAGGGAGCTGGCTTAAAAATTTTACATCTGGCCCTGATTCTGGGAGTAATTCTCAGAAGGTGCTCTTCTGTATATAGATGCTGCACAGTACCATCTCTTTTATTGTATTTGCTGGATGTAGTTATCAATTCTATTTTAGATTTTTTGGGTGCACTTTGCTCAGTAGTGTTCCTCCTATTTATAATGGTCCGTGTAGTTCTCAGTAACTGTATTTATTTTGTAATTATGGACATTGTATATCAACATCACATTGCAGTCTGTTTTGAATGCAGAGTAGGAGCAAAGGTATAGATTGAGAACAGCTGATGGAGCTATTTATAAAGGTACCGCTATGCCCACATGCCTGTAAAATGGGAAGATTAACTTTAGATTTAATATTATTGCTCATAGTTGTAGGTATACATCTTATTACTTGTGAAAGAATTTGTTTTGTAATAAATTGCACTTTTTAATTTTGTATTCTTTCAAACATGATTTCAAAACCTCTGTTTTTAATGCAGAGGTTTTAATGCAAATTGTGTAATTTATTTTTTGTTGGCAAACTAGTAAGTGTGCTGGGCAGTTGCCATTTTTGTTTAGTTTGCTGGAATTGGTGGAGGGACATATTGGAAGCTTTCAACTGTCATTATGCAGTACTGGGCTTCTGGCATGTCCTGTGTCTTTGAAGAGGAATAGGCTACCTCAAGGTATAACTGCCCTTAATTCATCCATTGGTATATATGCTTCAATGTGGAGGCTCTCATAGACTAGAGTTAGGACCACACTATACTGACGGACCTTGACAAGGCAATGTGGCTTCCACATATATTTGCAAGTCATTGCTCTTTGGATTCTGTCAGTAAGTAGTATTCATCATTAGAATTCTAGCAAGACAGTTATGTTAGTGGGGGCTAGTTTTTATAAGTAACAACATTTAATTTTGTCTGAATTGTACATTCTAAAGGCAGGCACATGTCAGTAGTGAGCATAATACTCAATGGAATGGATTTGCTAAAGCAATATAGCATGTTCACTTTGTATATGTTCATTTTGCTTAGTAAATGAGATGAAATGATGTTTACTTCAGATATAAAGTCCTGTTTTTTTTTTTACCTTACACATGATTAGCTTAATCTATACTAAGACCAAAGACAGTACACTTTTGCAGAGTGAAGCTTTTATGTTCAATTGCTGGCATTGCAAATATTTAAATAATCAACCAGTTTTGCAATGATACTCTTCCACACACATTTACAAAGTAAGTTTGTGTTTTGCTCTAGTTTTTCTGTTTGTAAGGAATGTAAACTGTATGGCCCAGAGATAAACAAAAAAAAGACAACTAACTAAACAAAGAAATCTGGTAAAATGGAATAACATGGACACATGTGAACTGATCAAATTAAGTTTATTGTAAAATGTGACACAAGTTAAGTTGTTTTAGGACCAGGTATCACATCAAAATGATCCAGCTTATCTGTACCTGGAAACCAGGACAGAAGACACAGCAGAGACGAATTTGTCCCAGGCAGCGTGGGCAGGAGCATTAAACTCCTGGGGAAGTGGACAGCCAGAGTCACCTGGATGCA